TCCCGTGAGGGTTTGAATAACTGGTGTCAGTGGCCGAGCACACGGCCCAGGCCGGGTACAGTGTGGGCTTACTCCCTGGAAGGGCGTGAGATCTCAGCCCTGGCCCAAGTCCCCACCATGGGTTCCCTGCTGTGTGACGTTGGTCTGTGGTTCAGCCTCCATGAGCCTCATCAGTTTTGAGGGTGAAAGGGCCGAGCAACCCACCCTGGTCCGTTGCAGCTGCTAAGGGAGTCATGGGGGGTGGGGGAGTGGGGGATCAGGAAGCCCAGGGCTGTGGGAGGCTTCAGGGGGGTGAAATGACTCACTTGGAGTCACGCAGCGTGTGAGGGGCAGAACTGGGATTTGAACGCATGCCCGTGCACCTCTAAGACCTACCACCGTCACACCTGCCTAGAGGCTTGTATGATGTGGAGGTGACTCACCCACCGTTCCCTTAATCCCTAGCCAGAAAAGCCAGTGTGGGACAGTGTGACAAACAAGACATGACTGTACCCTTGGATAGGGCAGGGCATGTGGACCCAGTGCCTGGGAGGAGGGCAAGATTGGGAGTAGCTCAAGGAAGCTGACCTCTGCAAAGTCACAGGGTCCCTTCCCACCATCTACCCTTGATCCTCACAGCATGCTGGAGGTGGGGGGGGGGAGGCAAGGGGCCTCCTTTGACCAAGGGCCACGTTGATTCTAGGGGATTGCTGACACCACGGGGTAGGTGTGCATGCCCAACGGAAGTCCCTGGAAAGTGTCCTTCCACTTGTATAGCTGTTCACGCTCTGAGGCCACTCACCTGAGTACCACCTCATCCATCCATTCCTCTGTCAATCCCGCCCCCCTCCCCACTCCCACCCCCATTAATTCATCCATTCACATGCCCACCCTTCCAGCTGTCCACAGCTGGCCCCAGGGTGGCATGGGGAAGGCTCAGCAGGTGATGGCCAGGAGCACAGGCTGGGGACCTTTGGGATACTAGGAGAATTGCCCCATTACCTGCCTCTCTAGAATGGGAACAGAAATAGTGCCAACCTTGTGGGGTCCTGAGGATTCCGTGTGTAAAATGTCTATGCCCATTTCTTGCCTGCAGGGGGCGCTGATATTGGCAGCTGTGACTTTTCTCTGAAGACCCATCTCCTTCTGCCGTTCTGCCCTTGTCTGGCTCTTCGTGCGGGGGTTGTGGACAGTGCCTGAAGGCTGTGAAAGTGTGGGGGCATCAGAGGCCCAGGCTGGGGTGGGGGCGCTCCTCCACCTCTCCTGGGGGTCTTGAGGGAAGTGAAGAGAAATGTGGGTTTGTGTGAAAAGTTCTGACTTTCCCTTTGGGGAGAGCATTGGCCTGTGCAGTAACTTGGGTTTTCCTCGTTCACTTTAGGGTCTTCTGGTGACCGGATCCTCCCCAGCTGGTGCCTGGGAAATGGCAGCTGCTGCTCATCCGGCCCTGAAGAGTGTCACTTGTCCGCTTAGCACCATTACTTAGAAGATAGAGTTCAAGAGGTAAGGTGAGGGTTACTGAGGCAAACCCGTCCGGCCCATCATCCGTCCACCAAAGGCTGCTTGGTGGTCCCCTTACCCACTTCCCTGTCTCTTCTTCTGCCCATCCACCCACCTCTCTGGCCTCTCATTCACCCTTTATCCATCCAGTAGTTCGACTGATGCACTCACGTCGACGTCCATCCACACGTCCATCCATCATCTAATCACCCATTCACTGACCTGCCCATTTATCCGTCCACTCACTAATCCATCCATACACCCGCCCATCCTATCATTTTCTTACTCATTTCCCCCCCACCCATTCCTCTGCTCGACGATCCGTCCACCCACTTCTCCACCCACCTAACCCATACGTGTATCTGGTCACCCTATCCGTCCACCTACCCATCTGTCAGCCCGATTTATCCGTCCATCTGCTGGACCACCCACCTGTGCATATGTCTGTCTCTCATTCATGGCTCTGTCACCTCCCCACCCCTCCCTCTATTCCCTGCTTTATACCTTCAGTCTTTCCTCTGGGCAGGGACCATTTCTTGGGTGCCTCCTCTGTGCCGGGCAGGCCCTGGCGCCAGCCTCTCTGGGCCTCTGGGGTGGTGTCAGAGATGGGGTCTGGGCAAGATGAACCCTCACACAAAGTAGGAAGTAGCATTGGGCCCTAACAGGAAAGCCCCAGGGCTAGAGAACCCCAATAAAGGCTTAATAGAGGAGGGGAGAGGAAGAGGAAGGGCAAGAGCAAGTCTTAGAGAAGCAGACTGGCCCCGGTATGGACAGCCAAGAGGGGTAGAGTCTTTGCCACCTGAGGCCCCGCGAGCAGGAACCCAGGGGAGCGAAGTTCCAGTATAAGTAGTGGGGAGGTGAATTCAGGAAGAGAAGGGGCCACGACAGGGTGTGCTGTTGTCATGGTTACCACTTGGGAAGTTGGAATTCAGTCCGGCTGGGGACTCCAGGGGAGGCACCCTGGAATACACCCTCAGAGTGATCCATCCAAGGGGCAGGGAGCAGGGGGCCTTGAGCCATCTGCTCCTGACCCCCACTGGCTGTGCACAGGCCGGAGAAAGTGGCCGGAGAAAGCTTTTGGGCAAAAAGACACCGGTGTTGGCTGCTGGAATGGGTCGGCCGACCTTGAAGTGGTGACTCGGGTACTGACCCCCGGTCCGCAGCCCTGGCACACACTGTGCTGTCATGGCTGATTCTCAGGCCCTGCGTGGGCTTGGTGCAGAGAGCCTGCACTGCATAGATCCCAGATGTCTGCAGGCCATGGGCCAGCACCCAGGGCAGAGGCTGCTGGAGTACCTGCAGAGGAGTCCGTCTGGAAAGGCGATTGGGCACGAGAGAGGTCCCTTCCTTTAGATTGGGAGGAAAAAAAAATGGCAGGTCCCTCCCAATCCTCCATCCCCCTCTACACCCATGCGTTGCTCCTACCAGCCAGCCCCCAGCCTCTTCTCTGGCCCTTGGCTCCTAGCTCTGGCCACGCCCCAACAGGGATGACCCTTGTTACTGCCCCTGCATTTCAGTGGGACCCTTGCTGTTCCATTCTCTGAGCAAGACTCTGGCACAAGAGAGAACTCTGCAGCCCCCGGCCTCTCAGTCCTGTGGAACTGACAAGGAGGTCCTCTCAGAGCCTCTCATGCCAAGCCTGATGGATAGAGTGACTGGATGAGAAAGATTTTGCGGCAGCCCAGCACCTGGTGGACCAAAGTTCTGTGATTGATTGGTGGTGACCGTGGGTGCTAGCTATCGGGAGAGGTGTACGCAAGCCACCACTGGCCTTCCCTGCATGGAAGGGTCTTCTGGCGTGGGGGCTTCCCCTTGAGGTAGTGAGTACTTTGTCCCTGGACTTTCAAAGAGAGGGCAAATGGCCACGGGTCCGTGCTGGTGAGGATGTGTAAAAATCTTCACTTTACAGTGTAGATTCGGGCAGTTTGTCTTAATTGTCAAACAGATTTTGCAGGGGTCTGGATGACTTGAGACTGGACTGCAGCATTGCCACCATCAGGACTTACAACTTTGGGTGTTGGTCTCACCTGTGTTCCCCAGATTGGAAGTACCACTCCTTAAAGGCTGTGTGACCCTCAATGAGTGACTTGACCTCTCGGAACTTTAGTTTCATCCCTGGAAACTTGGGGGCTAATAGCCATAGTGTCATTAGAGGGATGACATGAGGGAGGTTATCAGAACTTTTGTTTTTTTTTAAATTTTTTTATTGGTACGCTATAATCATACAGAATAGTGGGAGTCATTGTGACGTCGTCGTGCTCGCACGTGACATAATTGAATCGATCTTAACTTTTGGAAGACTGTCTAGCAGATGAATGGTGAATATTTGATAGATTTTGACCATTTACTCCTAACTCTGGAGGGGTCCCCCCGCAACTAGTGTTCCCTAAAGGAGAGGTTTTGCGTCAGCCATGTGGGTCCTTCTACCATCCCCCTCCAGTCTGTGCTTCTCTGTCACCTGGGAATGTGGGCCCGGGCCTTGTCCTGGCTCCTCCCGGATGTGACCGAAACCTGAGGTGCCCAGAGCCTCAGGGACTGGGCATGGGGTGTCCTACTCCATCCGGAGACACCTCCCGGTGACTCCGAGGCCCCACCCTTGGGTCGGGTAGCAGCTGCTGTCTGGTGTCCTCTCTAAAAGCTCCAGCCTGGGTCCTAAGAGGCTGCATCTACGGGAGCCTGGCTCTCGGGAAGCAGGTTGCATGGCTGCCGGTCCTGGGACAGCTTCACCACCTCTCGCATGGTCCGTGCCCTCTGTCCTCTGCCTGCTGAACTGGCTTCGAACGCCGCCTGTCTGGTTGGAACCGCCTTGTCTGGCTCAGGTAGCGACCCCAGCGCCTCTCCCGGAGGCCCCCGTCAGAGAGGCCTGGGACTGCTGTGTCTGGAGCATCTCCTCCTGGCTCATGCATCCCTCTGTAACCTCTTTTTCCTCCTTTGGCCTTTGTTTTCCTACCTATGAAATACGGAGTGAGCCTGGTTGCTTCCTGAGGTCTCTTCCAGAAAAAAACAAAAAAACAACAAAAAAAAAACAAGTTCTCTGGCTTTCTTTGCTTATTTTTTACCGTATGCACCCCACTCAATGAGAGTCAGACAAGCCTGCCTACCTCGGGCTGAGGGTTCTGTCCTACATTTCTTAAATTGAGTCCTTAAAGGCTGCAGAGTTTTGTAACCTTGCCGCCACGCCTGTGTTTGTGTGGGGAGCGTTCCATTGGGCATTTGGCAAGAGTGTGGTGCCGGGTTCCTACTCCTGAGCCTCTTCTGGGTCTTTCTTGTGGTTCTGTGTTCACTAAATATTCAGCCAGGGGACTCTCCACATCTCTAGGAGTCTGTCTCTGATACACAGGCGTGTGCAAGTGCACACACACACACACACACACACACACACACACACACAGTAGAACAAGATCCCAAGAAGCTAAGGGCTGACACTCTGGGGGTTCCAACTCTTTCTCTACTTGGTTTTGGTGTTTTTTTTTTTTTGACAAGAGACTTTGTTCCAAATCAGTTTCTGGCTCCGAGAAATGGGGAAGCCGTTGTGAACTTGACCTTGCGGATTTTTCTCTGTGTGGTTTTTTTAGGAGGAACATCATCTGAAGTGGGAGTTCCCAGGCCTGTATGACACTGTCTAGGTGGGTCTCAGGTGCCCAGTCCTGGCAGAAATGCCAGGAGCCATTTGTAGCACCCTTGCCTGCCCGGTAGCTGGCCAGAGGCAAAGCCGCTGGACACTGGGAGCAGGGGCCAGGCTGGGTCTGCCTGGCCTTTGATTCTCTGCGATTCTGTTTCCTGCAGGCCTCCATCTGCTCAGAGCACTAGCTGGAGCAGCCATGACTCGATGGACATCCCTCCAGGCCTCCAGGCCACACAAACCTGCCCCCTGTGATCTGGCGGCCCCCCGCCGGCGTCTGAGTGCCCCGACCCTGGCCGCCTCCCCCTGGAGGGTCCGGGAATCTGGGGCTGAATCATCTCTCCAGAACAGCCCCGGGGCTCCCCACCCCTGCCGAGTCCCCTCCTCCTGGCCCAGGCAGAAGGAGTGGCTACCAGTGTGGCCTCAGGCCTCAGCTCCTCAGACCCAGGGTGAGGTGGTCAGCTGGAGCAGCTGTGGGGGAAGGATAGAGGAGGACAGGTGTTCTTCCGCCGAGCAGAGCCTTGTTCCGTGGTGGAGCACTTTGCATTAGACGCGAGGGGTTTGAATCTCAGCTCGGCTGCTTGATGGCTTGGTGGCTTGAGGGCAGTCACTTAACCTCTCTGAACCTCCATTCAGGGAGTAGATGTGACAATGGTAGTTACCTCCGTAGGTTGTCAGAAGATGATCTGAGGGCGGTAGCTGTGTCTGGTCTCAAGGTACCAATCTGTTCAGCTCTTGCTGAGGTTTTTCAAGCCTCTGTAGCTCTGAGCATCTTATACTCAACAGGCCACAGGGCTCGGCAGCACTGGTCCGGCACAGACCCTGGGCTGATGTAGCTAGCAGTGTGGCCTTCCTCCTTACCTGAGGTTGGAGGCTGTGCCTGGCTCCTGTGGACTTGGTCCGGAGCTGCGTGGCACAGATGGGCTGAATCCTGGCATTACCACCTTGGGCCTGGTGTCCATAGTGGGTGCTCAGCCATCCGGGACTTTCTGGACACCTCAGTGCCTTTCTGGTTCTGTGGAGGCAGCTATTAGAGGCTCTGTCTGGCTCTGACCTTGTGGCATGACCAGGTGGGGATGGGGGGTCCACGGGGCCTCCATGGTCGGCCCAGCTCCTCAGCATCCTGCAGACAGCAGCAGGTCCCAGCTCTCTCCTCCTTCCACCTCAGCCCAGCAAGACAGACTACTGTACTCTAGATGGCATCCGCGGCCATAGGACCAGACAATGCTGTGACTCCTAGGATGACACCAACTGGCCTGTGTGGCACTGTGGGGTGAGGGGCAGGGTGGCTCAGCCTGTGCATCCTGGGCCTGAGAGCAGGTTGTTCAGCTGTCCAGGTACCATGAGGTGCCGCAGGGCCTGCTCTGGGAGGGCCTATATTGTAGGCATGATGGAGTGTGGCAGGTGGCTCAGAGCTAGGGGCCCCTTCCGAGTGGGCCCAGGGTGGTGAAGGGAGCAGGTGACACTTGTGAGCACTCCCACAGGGCAGGGTGAGGGCCCCGTGGTCCTCATTTTAGGAAAGCAGGACATGGAGAGGCTCCTGGGCTGAGGTCCGGGGTAGCCGTGAGTCACCCCTGTCTGGATGGCTACCCCTCAGTGCTGCCCATGAGGAGATCCCAGGTGTGGCCTGTGGGGGCCTGAGTGGGCGCCGTAGGCAAGGTACACAGGCGTCAGAGGAGTGCTTAAGGCGTCTGAAGTGAGGGGTGCAGAGAGTGGGACTGGCAGGCGCTGTGCTAGGCCCCGGGGTGGGCGAGAGAGCAGTAAACAAGGTAGAAAGGGGCCTTGCTGACAGGGAGCAGGCGGTCTCTGGTGGGGACCCTGGTCAGCGCAACCCTGTCTGCGACA